TGCCTGTTGAATCTGTCAGTTGTATGTAGAAGGGGTTGAAGTCTCCAACTATAATAGTGGATTCGTTTGTTTCTCATTGCAGTTCTACTAGTTTTTGCCTCACATATTGACACTCTGTTGTTAGGCACATACACTTTAAGGATCGTTACATCTTCTTGAAGAACTGACCCTTTTATCATATAATGCTCTTCTCTATCCCAATCATTTTCCTTGTTCTGGAACCTGCTTTGTCTGTAATTAATATAGCCACTCCGTCTTTTTTTGAGTTCTTTTAGTTTTAATCTGTTTCTTTATATCTTAAGTGACTTTCTCATAGACAATATAGTCCATATGTCTTTTAGTTGGTATATGTAGAGTGTTGATGTTTAAAGGGGTTATTGATATAGTTGGATTAATGTCTTCATGTGTCTTCCCTGTTTTCTATTCATTGCTCTTGTTTTTTGTTTTCATTTTTTTTAATTTTTACTCTTTTTCTACTTCCTTTGGTTTTAACTGAGATTTATATTTGATTCTGTGTTCTCCCCTTTTAGTATATCAATTATACTTTTTTTTGTTAGTGTTTGCTGTAGTGCTTCCACTATACATTTGCAACTAATCCCACCCCACTTTCAGGTAATACTATGTGATTTAATGGGTAGTATAAGTATCTTATAAACTGTATTCTCAATTCTTCTCTTCTGTTGCTATAACAATGCTGTCATCCATTTCACTTATCCATAAACTATAATCACATAATATATTGTTGCTATTATTATTTTGAATAAACTATTAACCATTAAATCAGCTAAGAATAAGAAAGTTACAAGATTTTATACTACCTTTATTTATTCATTCTCTGATGCTCTCCCTTATGTAGATCTGAGTGTCTGAGCCATAGCATTTTCCTTCTCCCTGAAGAACTTCTTTAATCATTTCTTGAAGGAAGTTCTACTGGTAACCAGTTTCGTATTTGTTTGGAAACATCCTTAATGTCTCCTTTACTCTTTTTAAATAATTTTAATTGTAGTAAAAATAGATATAAATATAACAAAACGTTTGCCATTTTTACATGCATAGTTTAGTAGGTGGTGCAGACACTTAAGCACTCAACTGCTAGCCAAAAGTTAGGTAGCTCAAACCCACCCACAGGCACCTCAGAAGGCAGACCTGGCAATCTGCTTCTGAAAGGTCACAGCCTTGAAAATTCTACGGAGCAGTTCTACTATGCACATATGGGGTCATAATGAGTCGTAATCGACTTGACAGCAACTAAGAACAATAATGTAGTGACATTGCTTATGTTCATCTGTTATGCTTACGTTCATCTGTTATGCTATTACCACTCTCCTTTCCCAACTTATTCCACCACCAGTAACGTAAGCTTAATGCCCCCTATGCAGTGAACCTCTCTTTTCCCTTCTTTCCCACCCCTGGTAACCACTAATAAGATTTGGTCTCTATACATTTGCCTATTTCATACAATTGAGTTCAGACAGTATTTTTCCTCTTGTGACTGACTTATTACACTCAGCATATTTTCAAAGTTCATCCATGTTGTAGCATGTATCAGGACTTCATTTCTCTTTATAGCTAAGTAATATTCCACTGTATGGATATACCATGTTTTGTTTATCCATCCATCTTTTGATGGACGTTTATGTTGTTTCCACTTTTTGACCATCGTGAATAGTGCTACAGTGAATATTGGTGTACAGGTTTCTGTTTGATTTCCTGCTTTTAATTCTGTTGGGTATATACCTAGGAGTGGGATTGCTGGCTCATATGGTAGTTCTATAGTCACTTTTTTGAGGAACTGCCAGACTTTTTTCCACAGTGGCTTGTACCATTTTCCATTTCTGCAGCAATGAATGGGGATTCCAGTTTCTCCACATCCTCAACACTTGTTTTCCTTTTTTACTTTTGAAGGGTAGTTTTGCTAGATGCAGAATTCTAGGTTAGTGGTGCACTCCACTCTATTCTTGCTTGCAGGGTTTCTTAAGACAAGTCTGATGTATTTCTTAACCGTGCTCTTCTATAGAAAGGTGATTCCCAGCTCCCCACCCCCCCACCCCCGCTGCTTCTAGTATTTTCTCTTTGATTATGTACAGTTTGAACATGATATACCTAGATGTGTTTTTTTGGTGTTTATCCTGCTTGGTGTTCCCTGAACTTCCTGAATCTTTGGTTTGGTGTGTGTCATTAATTTTATAAAATTCTCAGTCATTACTACCTCAGATATTTTTTCTGTTTGTTTCTACTGTCTTTCCTTCCTGGTATTCTCAATATGTATATGTTACACCTTTTGTACTTGTCCTACAGTTCTCGGGTATTCTGTTATATCTTTTTCATTCTTTTTTCCCTTTGCATTGCAGTTTTGGAAGTTTCTGTTAACAGAAACTCTTCAAGAACACCAAAGTCACAAGGAAAATATTAGCCCAGGAGACAGAAAGGGCCACATAAACCAGAGACTTCATCAGCCTGAGACCAGAAGAACTGAATGGTGCCTGGCTACCACCAATGACTGCCCTGACAGGGAACATAACAGAGTCCCTGATGGAGCAGGAGAAAAGTGAGGTGCGGAACTCAAATTCTAGTAAAAAGACCAGACTTAATGGTCAGACTGAGACTGTAGGAACCCCGGAAAGCATAACCCCTGGACTCTTTGTCAACCCAGAACTAAAACCATTCCCGAGGCCAACTCTTCAGACAAAGATTAGACTGGACTATGGGACATAAAATGATACTCACGAAGAGTGTGCTTCTTAGTTCAAGTAGATATATGAGACTAAATGGGCAGCTTCTGTCTGGAGGTGAGATGAAAAGGCGGAGAGAGGAGCTGGTTGAATGGACATGGGAGATGAGGGATGGAAAGGAGCCGTGTGCTGTCACAGTGTAGGGAGAGCAATTAGGGTCACATAACAATGTATGTATAAATTTTTGTATGAGAGACTAACTTGAATTGTAAACTTTCCCTTAAAGTACAATAAAATTAAAAAAAAAAACTCTTCAAGCTCACTGATTCTTTCGTTGACTTTGTGCAGTCATTTAATGAACTTGTTGATGGCATTCTTCATTTCTGTTAGTGTTTTTGATTTCTAGCATTTCCTTTGGATTCTTTGTTACAGTTTCCATTTCTGCTTACATTACTCATCTGTTGTTGCATGTATGTACTTTATTTATTAGCACCCCTAACATGTTAATTATCATATTTTTACTCAAGTAACACTGGTGTCATACTTTTTTTGCCAACTGCTCGGCCCCCCTTCTATTTTTGTAAGTGTGCTATGCTGTGTGTTAATGTGTGGGTGTGTTATTTGCAGAAAAATACAGTATAGTCTTGAATTTTCCGTCTGATAATTCCAAAATCTGACATATTTTAGACTGATTTTAATGCTTGTGGTTTTATTTCTCTAGTATGCCTAGTAGTTTTTTGTTGAAAGCCAGAAATTATGTACTAAGTGAAAGCAACTGATGTAAATAAACAGGCCTTTAGTATGAGGTTTCATCTTTATCTGCCTAGAAGTTAGGCTGTATTTACTGTTTGCTGTAGTTGTCAGAGGCCAAATTTGCTCTGATTTTTTTTTCCTTGTGTTTGGGTTTCCTAGAGACTTCTTAAATCAGGTCTGAGACTTGGAGTTCATTCCATTGTAATTCTGTTAGTATATAAGAGCCCCATTGATATAGGTAAGTTGTGGGTGGAGAAGCATGCTATAGTCCAGTGATTAAGTCTCAGTCTTTTAGTGAGCCTTTGCCACTGGGCAGTGACCATACAAGTGCTTTTCTGCTTCTCTCCTCCTCCACTTTGGTGAGACAAGAAGCCTAGATGGGGCTGGAGTTCAGTGTTTCACTACTGCAGCTCAGTTATAAAATAGGTTCCCTTGAGGGCAGGCCTTATCAGGCAGAACAGAATGCTCCGGGAAAATTTCTAAATGGCTATTTTTTTCTTCCTCCTACTGGAAGGAAGCACAAGGAAATTTTTCTCTGATCTTCACACTGAGCACCTGAGGCGGTTCATAAAACCTGTGCACCCCCCAGTAATTGGGTCCCCCATCATTTTTAACCGTGAAACTGGTCCACACCAAGCCTCCAGCAATTATCCATTGCATTTTAAGTTTTCCCACACTGATACTGATTCTAGCGGTGGTTTCTGCTCCTAGGTTTTTGCTCTGGTATGATTCTGTGTATCTGCCTATGTGTCCCTCCAGTTTTGGGGAAACATTTTGCCCTGTGACCTAAATTCTCTGAGTTCAGTATGCTCAGATTTTTTCTTGTGAGAATGGGAGTGATGACTTCAGTCTCCTTAAATATTGGCCCACAAACTGGAAATGCTCTGCTCCCTCTTCTTTATCTTCGTGGTATGAGGTCCCCAGCTCTCTGCTTACTTCCCTTTCCTTTTATCTCTTGAGAGATAAAAGGTGGTGCAGGCCACACCTAAGGGAAACTCCCTTTACATTGGATCAGGGATGTGACCTGGGTAAGGGTGGTGTTACAATCCCACCCTAATCCTCTAACATAAAATTACAATCATAAAATGGAGGACAACCACAGAATACTGGGAATCATGCCCTAGCCAAACTGATACATTTTGGGGGGGATATAATTCAATTCTTGACATTCCCTGTGCTTCGTGTTGTATTCTATGGGTCTTATGGAAGGAGGTGAAATTGTTCCCAAGGAAGTGATGATTTGAGTTAGAACGTTTGTCTAATTTCTATTTTTACTAACCGTTATACACCATAAAGAGAGAGGAGTAAGACGGGAATTGGTGGCAGTCGAACTGGGGAGATAATTTCACTGTGTTGGAAGTCTGTGAGACAGGAAGTAATCAGTGAGGAAGTGAATGTAGTTAGTTAATGGAAGAGGCCGATGGCTATTCCCTAAAATAGACCTTGGTAGAACACAGAACCTTGTGTGAAATCCCTATGAATTCTTAGTTCCCAGGACTGTCAGCCTCGCCCTTCCTCTTGTACACATTGGAGTACATGGTACCTTGCTGATACACAATGTGTGGAATGTTTCAGGACTCACTGGTCATTGAGGATGTAGTTGTAGTCTTTACCCAGGAAGAGTGGGCTTTGCTGGATCTTGCTCAGAGGAAGCTCTACAGAGATGTGATGATGGAAACCTTCAGAAACCTGGCCTCAGTAGGTAAGACTGACATCATTTTTTTAATTTACTCTTCTAGTGAACAAAAATACTCATTGACTTTGTTCTAGTATTTGGGTTAAGAATTGGAATAAATTGTTAAAAATAGGCATGGTCCCTTGTTCCTGGCTTTCTCATGAACATAAAGCTCTATATTTCAAAGTAACTTTTCATTTCTCTTGAGATTTAAAGACCTTAGGCTCTTTAACTATTGTAAGTGTAAGCACTGGCTTCAGGGGTCACTTCGGGGCACTGAGAGATTTGTGGTTTGGAACCTCGTAGAGAGTTTTACTGTGTTTATTACAAGTTTGACATGCTTATTTTGCTGCAAGTAAATATCGCAGCCCCTCACACGGGGCACCATCTGTCACAGCGGCGGCGAATGTCGGGGCAGCGGAGACAGTAACCAAACACAACTCTTACAGAGAAGTGGGGCCAGGAGGGTGACTCTGAGGAGTCGACCCTCGGCTTTAGTCTCAGGAGTTTCTTTATAGTCAATACAGCAAGCAGTGAAGCAAATAACAGAACAATGGGCTTTGGGTGAGTAACAAGTTTTGGGCAAGGGAGAAGGAATTCAGGTAAACAAGCCAGTCAGTAACAGGGCAATAGGTTTGGGAAAACAAGTCGTGCCTAATCTCATCGCTGACAAGTCTCCAACATGTCGTATACAGCATAGAGGCCTGTGGGGGCTGCAGTTGTCAGTAGTGCAGCCATGTTTAAATGGCATATATCCCACAAGTAAACATCTTCAGAAAGCCTGAAGATCAAAGTATTGGCTCAGTGTCAGGGAAATGTTCATTGCTCTGCACTGTCTTCCCTCATGATATGCATTTCTCCATGAGCACCGTGTCAGCTATACCATTTGTCTTCCCAGAGAAGCAAGGGAAAGATCTGAGGAGAGTGGAGATAGGACTCATCCAGGGCCAGTGTTTCAGGGACTACCAGAAAAGCAAGAATTTTTTGAAGGCCCAACCCTGCATGGAGGGAATTTGATTTCAATCATTCAGCTAGAAAAAGTCTCTTTTGGGTCGAGGAGACAACTTCACAGACACCTGAGCTTACTTTTATGACTTAGTCCTCTCACACCTGTGGTCTTGGAGGCCATTTTCCTCTTTTAACGTTACATGCATATTGTGGCCAATATCTTTCCACTTAGCTCTAATTACAACTATGTTATGTCACCGCCTCTCTCAATCCTCATGGAAGTATTTCTTAGTAAATTGCTTTTTGACTATTGCCAAAGTGCTGAAACAGTAAAATGTGGTTAATCTTTCTTTATTCACAGCAGCTTTTTTCCCCTAATCCTTTCCTTTTCGTTTCATATTGTGAACCTCAACTTGAATCATTGGTCAGTCTCTCGAAACCTTAATGATGAAAACAAGTTATCCAGTGAGCATATAATAGTGCGATTAATGAATAATTACACCTGGTCCTCCATGTTAGAAGAAATCTCTGAATCACATGGCAGTAAAGATCAGCATAACAACCAGTGGAGACATTTGAGGTGAGTGTCATTCAAACGAGAACACTGCCTTAAGAGAAAGGCCTAAGGTGTCATTAAAATATACATATATGTGTATTTATATATTTATAAATCTAGCTCTAAATTATGTGATCAGAGATTTTTCACAAGATTTTTATAAATGTAAGTCAGATATGGAGTATTTTAAACATACTTGTACACAATTATCAGAAAGCCTCATATTTTAGAAAAACAGTGACAGTAATATTAGTATCACTGCTAGATGATTTAATCTATGAAACGTGAAGTCAGGACAAAAACCATGCACATTTACTTTGTTTGGTATGCTAAAATGGGAACAGATTTATTTCCAACACCATGTTGCCTATTTTTAACAGAAGGCATACCGTAGAGAACCTCTGTGAAAGTAATGAAGGCAATCAGCGTAGAAAAGCCTTCAGCTGGATTCCAAATCTTACTGAGGTAAAAATAAAGCCTTCAGAAGTAAATCCTTATAAATGCTGTGAGTGTGGAAAAGCCTTCAAGGATCACTCATCATATAAGCATCATACCAGATCTCACACTGGATGCAATACTTACCACTGTAAGAAAAGTGGAGAAGCCTACAGTTGTCCCTCTTACCTAAGCACTCCTATGAGAACTCTTACTGGAGAAAAACCTTCTAAGGTATGTGGGAGAGACTTCATTTCTACCTCAACCCTTGAGAGTCCTGGGACAACAGTCACTGGTGAGAAACGCTATGAATGTAACAAATGTGGGAAAGATTCCTGTAGTTTATCATCCTTTCAGACACATCTGAGAGGTCATAAGCAAGAATGTAAAGAATGTTGTAAAACCTATGGTCGTCCTACATCCCTCTGTTTACATAAAAAATTTCGTAACACAGGTAAGCCTTATCAATGTAAGGAATGTGGAAAAGCCTTTAGATATGCCTCAAACCTCACTAAACATATAAAAACTTACAATGGACAAAGGCCTTATGAATGTAAGAAATGTAGAAAAACATTTACTTGTTACTCATTCCTTTCTAAGCATTTAAGAATTCACAGTGGAGAGATGCCTTATGAATGTAAAGAATGTGGGAAAGCCTTTAGTCTGTCATCACGCCTCTCTCAACATAGAAGAAGTCACAATACAGAGAAGCCTTATGAATGTGAGGAATGTGAGAAAGCCTTTAGTCATGCCTCATTGCTCACTCGACATAAGAGAACTCACAGTGGAGAGAGACCTTTTGAATGTAAGGACTGTGGAAAAGCCTTTAGTCAATTATCATACCTCTCTAAACATAGAGGAACTCACAATACAGTGAGGTCTTACGAATGTAAGAAATGTGGGAAAGCCTTCAGTTGTTCTTCACTGTTTGCTATACATAAGAGAACTCACAGTGGAGAGAGGCCTCATGAATGTAAGCAATGTGGGAAAACCTTTAGTTACGTCTCAGACCTCAGTAAACATAAAAGAATTCACAGTAGAGAGAGACCTTATGAATGTAAGGAATGTGGGAAAGCCTTTAGTTATGTCTCAGACCTCACTAAACATAAAAGAATTCACAGTGGAGAGAGACCTTATGAATGTAAACAATGTGGGAAAGCCTTTAGACACGCCTCTAACCTCGCTAAACATAAAAGAATTCACAGTGGAGAGAGGCCTTATGAATGTAAGCAATGTGGGAAAGCTTTTAGACGTGTCTCAGACCTCAATATACATAAAAGAATTCACAGTGGAGAGAGACCTTATGAATGTAAGGAATGTGGGAAAGCCTTTAGACAGTCATCACACTTCACTTATCATTTAAAAATTCACAGTGTGAAGGCCTTATGAATGTAAGGAATGTGAGAATACCTTTAATTGTGCCTCATCCTTCACTACACATATAAGAACTCACAGTGGAGAGACAACTGTATGTCCAAAGTGGGATATTTCGTTCTTACTGCTGTAATTTCGAACAGCAAATTTCTGAAAATCTGCGGTTACAGAACAAAGCGATAGTAACTGAAAGAAGGGATCATTAAAGCTACTTTGTGCCTTTGGGAGAAATTACAGTTTCATTGTAAATGCAAGTCTGTCTTTGTCAGTGTTTGTTATGTTCTCAGTTCTAGCTAAATTTTACTTTATTCTTTGGCTATTATAAATGAGGCTGCAGGGAATAGCCTTGAGCAACTGTTGTTTTATATTTTTTAATGCTTTTATTGATTTTAATTTGCATGCAGTAAAATACACTGATCTGGTATTTAGTTGCACAGTTGTTTGGTTTGTTTTCATATTTAGCATGTTTCCTTCCGTTCTTTCCTACTGGAAAGTTAATTTTTTGACCCTTATAATTAGTAATTGTGGCATAATTGATTATTTTTGTGTGGCCTTTCTAGCCATGATCTTGTAACTCCTACCCAGGTGATTGGCCAGGACTGTGCAGATAGGGTAGTTGTAACCTACCAAGGGGACTGGTCAGTTTTGCCATCCCACTGGGCTTGAGAAAAGCCACCCCAGAGGCAGGAAAAAGAAGAACCCACCACCACCAAGGAAGAAGAGGCAGCACATCCTTTAGACCTGGGATCCCTGTGCTGAGAAACTCCTGGAAGCAGGAGACTGAGAGAGCAAGCTGTAATCCTGAAGACGGTGAGAAGTGGTGGCAGGAGAGACCCAGCAGCAGGAGACGGGGCAGTGGGCCTCCTGGCCCACAGAGAGAAAAGGTTGAGTGCCTTTGGGCAGAGGCCTAAGGCCAGGGAGAGGCATGCCTATGAACACAGCTGGGAAGAGATTGTCCTGATGGAAGAACTGTATCATGAGTGTTCCTGAGCCTGAAGTATAACTGTTCCTTCCCTAATAAACCTCATAATCATGAGTATTGTCTGTGAATTCTGTGTGGCCATTGAAATGAGTTATTAAACCCAGCAGAGAAGTAGAGAGTGCTGTGGGAGGGATGATTGGTGTCAGGATTGATAAAGATAGTAAAGAGAGGAGGCATGTCTGACTGCCGCCTCATAGGAATCAGCCTTGGGCTGTTGATCTTGATTCTCCTTTCCCCTTGTGAAGTTAGAGGAGGTCAGATACTGCCCCTAAGCCGTTTTT